CACACCATTTCTGTAACACTTTTCAGCTTTCACTGAAATAGAAAGCAAATGAGAAAAGAGAGATTAGAAAAGCAAGTTAATATATTCAGGTAGGCCTACCAAATCTCATTGGTCTCTTTCAATTTGGACGCATTTTCATACTTTAAAGCATTTTCATGTCAAAGGCATTTTAGATGAAATAGGTATTTTGAAAACCTGACTTGTTATTTTAAAAGGAAATCTCACTAACAGCAAATGCCAAACTAGGATTTTGTATAAACTGAAATGTCATCTGGAAAATATATGACGCAATTCTGTGCTATCTGACACTGCAGAGTCTTTTGTTGGAGGACTATGTTTAGTTTTGGCATGACACTTCAAGAAGGATGCAGGCCACCTGGAACGAGTGCAGGGGGAGGAATAGGAATGATCAAGACTCTAGAAAGTATGACCTACAGGAAAGATGAAAAGAACAGCCTGTTTATTTTTAAGGAGAGACCCGAAGCAAGATACCTTAACAGTTGTAACATAATTTTCCTGCTACAAAGAGGCCATAAAGAATCTGTTAAATTTCGTATGCTGAAGCAAAAAGAAGAAATAGGTTAAAGTTGCTGCAGGAATGATTTTAGTTAATACAAGATGTTTTGGTTAAGGAAGGTATTTAAAAGGTTAGGAACCTGAGTTAAGCCCCAGGAGGCTGTGGAATTGCCACCACTGCAGGTTTATAAAAACAGGATACACAAGTATCTGCCAGAAATAATTCAGGTGTAATTATTTCTGCTATGGGGCATATGGTTGGGATCTGATGGTTCTTAAGGTCTCCATGGAGGTCCTGGAGCGTGGGACAGTCCTTCAATTTGTACCTTGACAGCTCAGTTCAGGGAAAAAAAAAAAAAATTAGGATAAAAGTCTTTTAAAATGAAATTAAAACCTCATGGCCTTCTTTCAGAGAACATCAAGTCCCAGCTCCTTCTCAAACATCATCTCAAAATGAGTTAGGTGGTTTGATGGTTTGGCTCTCCTAGAACTGCTCTGGTCTTATGGTTTGAAATTGTCTTCTGTTTTTCAGTCTAAATTTAACTCTATATGGGATGGGATGGGATGGGATAGGATGGGATGGGATGGGATGGGATGGGATAGGATAGGATAGGATAGGATAGGATAGGATAGGATAGGATAGGATAGGATAGGATAGGATAGGATAGGATAGGATAGGATAGGATAGGATAGGATAGGATAGGATAGGATAGGATGCGATGGGATGTGATGGGATGGCGATATTATTGTTGGGCTAAACTGTTTTTAATTTCTTTAGGTTAAACAGCTCTTCTTCTATTCTCAGGTTTCCCATGATGTAAATTCAGTCAGTGTGGTCATATTCCCCCCTTTCACATCAAAAATTTTGGTTTTTTTCTCTTAAGAAAAAATTTGCCTTAATTCTTTCACGGTCTCTTTCCCTGCACTCCTTTCTTTCACGGGTATTTTTTTTCTGAATGAGATTACAGTTTCTTGCAAAAAAAAAAATCCCAAAGAAAGACCTTTCACTGCATGCCTTTCCATTTAAATACATCACTCTTGGTATCATTCTCAAAGCTATAAACAATATAATTGTAATATATTCTATATCACTGATACTAATATATGAATCTTAAAGTACAAAAGCTATAAATATTTTCACCATTTTGTAAACAGAAGAAAAATTAAAAGTTTAACTGCTTAATATTTAAATTAATGCAAAAGAGATTTGTGACCCACATGCACTAGTGTTATTTTTAAGAAATTCCTTCCTTCTCAGTGGTTCATCCATTAAGCTACTGGATTGTTTTTTCTCTCTGTCATTGCAATTAGTCTTATATCTCTGTGGTCTTCACACCAGTTTGGGAACTACCAAATTAGGAGTTCACTTCAAATGATAGTCCAAACCAGACAATAACTTTCAAACAGTATTTCTTAACATATGTATGTATGGAAAGAGTTAAGGAAAGTCGTCGTCTTTGTCTTCCCCCCCCTCCCCCCTCAGTTTATATAAGATTTGTCTGGGATATATTTAAATGTGAAAAACTTGGAAGAAAACTTAAGAAAATACTGTCAGATGAATGTCTCGAAGTGCCCACGTACAGCTGTGGAATATCTTCTTGTCAGTGAGAGGTTCTGCTAGGATTTGCAGATGAAAACTTTCCTTTCCAGCTCACTTGGGAGACAGATGTATAGGACAGAATGTGTTATTTTATTGACGCTGCAAGTTGCACAGACTTGTGCCTAGACTGAATCTGGAGCGTCTGCCTCATGTTAATGCAACACAATAGCAAACAGTAAGTTGTTTCCTCAGGTATCAAAACATTCACCATGCCCAGTCACTCTTCACTATAAAATATGTACTGAACCCTGTAGAGCTTTTGTTACTGGCCACAAAGATGAAGTTTATTCACTTGAGGAGTTATTTGGAGGATATTAGACCTCTGAATCCTGACTTCAAGACCGGATGAGCTCACGTCACCCCTTACAGCCTCAGTTATTCTGTGATTCTGTGATTCAGAAGCCATTGTATTTCTTTGGACTTACTAACAGATAGCCTTGTTCCTCCAGGGAGGTATGCATTTGTTCAAAAAAAATCAAGAGATGCTGTCAGATACTGTCATTATTAGAACTGTTTGCTACTCTATGTCCTTTATTTATTAAGTCACTTTTTCTAACTGAGGCCTTTTGCCATTAATAGTTAACTTCAATTAAAAAATATTTTTTTATTCACTATTGCATGAGTGTCTTTCTCAAGAATTTCAGTGTGATAGTCTATTACAAATCGTCTCCCAGTTGGTATGTGCTCCTTGCTTTTATGAGTTAGTCACTATTAACACATTTTTGTCATCTTGTGGGATTGGCACCCACCAATTCCCTGTGGTGTGGACATCTGGCTCTGATAGAAGATCATTAAGCTATCATCTCGTGTTGCTGTATCACCCAGAGGGATTTGCATGGGATGGTAGAGAGAAAAGGTGTCCTGTGCAGAGACAGACATCCACACCATACTTCTTTCAGAAGGAGAAATGTTTGCATCAGTCTGAGAGGATTCTTTTCATCGGAATCAGTAATTTGTCTTTTTAGATTACCAGTGAATGATACTGCTGTTGAATTTTCACTTTCCTTTGGTTTCCGTTCCTTCCTTCATGCCTCTATTGTTTCTAGTTTCCCAGAAGATGCCATGACTGTGTCACAACTGCAAACCAAAGTCCAAGTGCCAATCTCCTTCAGCTAATGAGAAATGAATGCTCAAGAGCAATGCACTCAGCACTGTCTCCTCTGTTCACCACCCCCCCAAAGTTTATACCTCCATCTTCATACCCCAGGTAACCTCAGACATGTCTTGGGTACTAATGTTTAGAAAGCAACAGACTTCTCCCAATATGCTTTCATAGAATAATGTTGAATTAGGTCTCGTTCAAAAAGCTTGGACTCTTATCTGTTGGGCATTAAAGTAGAAAATAAGTACAAATAAAGCACCGATACTCAAATCTAGAAGAAAGAGAGTAGGGCTCCTACCTGTATGCAGTGAGACAAGTCTCTGGAGTGCTTTCTTGTTTTGCTGGCAGAGGAGCTGTAAAGTGTGGTGGGAGGATGAGCGTGGTAGAGACTGGGGAACAAACCAGCAGGCAGTAGCCCTGGTCCCAGCATCCCGCTCTGTGGTAGCTCACGAGCACGGATTCACTGTAGGGAGGAGGACAACAAGCTGAGCCCTGAATGTCCCAGGCTGGTCGGAGGGAGCCAGTGGGCTGACATGGGCTTTCTGGGATAGCAGAGTGGCAAGTCGCAGCATCAGGCCTTGACATCAGAATGCATGTGAGCTTTCTCAGGAGTGAGAATATTTAGGTTGTATGCTTGAAGGGGTAAGGCATGGGTGTGCACAAGAGGAATGGCCATGGAGGGGAACTTCATTGGAAGAACATGTTTGCTCTCACCAGTGAGCGCTGCAGAGTGGCAAGTCAAGACATTGGAGTTTTGGGGGAAGGTGTCTTGCTAACTCAGGGGAAAGGCTCACTCCCAACTCCGTTTCCCAACAGCTCTCCCCCTCAGCATCTGCCTGAGTTGTAGCGGGGAGGAATATGTGTGTGTGTCTGTGTACACGATGTAGCTAGGCGTCATCACTTCATCTTAAGAGTGGAGTGATGAAGGGTATCTTCCTCATTGGTACAAGTCATCCATACAAAATATTTTTGAGTAGGCACAGACTCCTCCACCCTTTCCTTTTTATTTAATTCGATTGTGTCCATGGCCATGAGCACATCTTTTTCTATAGCTCCTGACTCAGAATTTACAAATGTTATCAGAACTGGAGAGCAGAGTCTTCCAACGGCTGCTCAGGAGTGTGGAGCACCAGACCATTTTCCATACTCTCATCTTTCCTCCTTTCTACTCTCCCACTCATCCACATGGAGCAGCTGCAGTATTCACTTTCAGCCAGAAGGGAAGACAAGCAGACAGCTGTCACGCTATGAATCAGATTTTAAACTGTGGTTTGGAGGGGAAGATTTTAGCTTTATTTCCCACTTGCAGAACAAAGAGCATCTGTTTTTGACACTTGCAGTTTTATGCAGATCTGAGAGTTTGCCTTGCAATTACAGATTCCATGTAGGGAAAGCGAATTCAGATAGCCAATGCACAATATTCTCCTTACATTTCTTCATTGATTAAGTCACTGTGAAATTAAAACCAAATTATATCCAAAAAGAACAGAATGTTTAAATGTGAATGAGAGGTTGTATGTGTGATTCTCTTCGGTCCTGTAAATAATGTGACTAGAAACACTGTAGGCAGATAGACTGCTTATTAGTTTTATTGTTTTATGGAATTTGAAGACAGTGAGTGCTGAAGAATGAACAGACTTTGGCTTGAAAAATGTTCATGTGTGCTGCAGTAGTGAGGGATAGAATGGTTTCTTGGACACACTGAGAATCAAGAGAGCCAAAAGTGAGTCACATGGACGACTGCAGACATCACATTTAATTGTGTAATAATACTACAGCAAGTACAATTGGAGCAGGCTTGCTGACCTCACAGCTGAAAGCACTATTTAAGATCTGGCTACCAGATGTTCCAATAGGATCTAGCCAGCTGCTAGCAGAGGTTACCCTGAGTGTTTTAACAGGGAATATTTACAGCCTAATTGTTCGGAAGAGATGATTGCACTAATTTTCTTTTCTGCCCTGCTGTGGGACAAGGCTCAAGCATGGGGATTCAAGGACGGAGTGCTGCATAACTCTATTTGGCTAGGTAAGAAGTATTTTAATCATGAATGTTTTGCTGCAAAAGCCACTGTGTTTGTCTAATGGTATAAAGATGAGCAACCTAGCAATACAAAATTGACCCATGCATTACTATTAGCAAAATCCTGTATTTTATCTGAGTAGTGACTGTGAGTTTTGTCCTTATGAGCTTAATATTTTTACCATTTCTCTGAAGTGCAGGAGAAAGTAGTTACGGAATATTTCATCTGAATGTATTTTCCTACAGCATGAGGTAAAGTGAAAACACCGTTAAATAACAGTTGCTTCTAATGAAGGAAAACGAGTATGAAAAGAAGCATTTGCCAAAGGAATGAATTACTTTCTGCATGAACATACTTCAGATTCCTGGGGTCCTACATATGAAACTAAATGATCTGGAAATAATAGCGATAATATTTTCTAGGTTTCTATGAAAGAACAGAAGTGTATATGTTTTGGCTGTTGGTTTGTTCACATCATTAAACAATGGCGAGAAGAGTTTGAAAGGGCTATAGAAAATGCTGTGGGAATAGTTTCTTATACCTCGAGTGGGTTTAAATGTTTCTTTTATAGACTTTTATAATCATCTAATACAACAGAAAAACATAGTCAAAATACAGTCACATAAAGGATGCCAAAACAAACGTGCATTGAGTGGTCCATTTGATACACAAATGCTTTACAAACTCCTTTATCCTCTCTAGAATATTGTTTATTTCTGTAAGGATCTGAAGGCATTCCTGTAGCCAGTACACAATTCTGGTGTGCTCAGATGTTTCACGAGGGACTGGGGCCACACTCCATTAGCTGGTGCAGCAATCACGTGACTCCAGTCTCTTCTCAGAGGACCATGTAAACTAACAGGAACATAAATGAGGAGAAGCGATCTATATTGTTTTCCATTTGACTGCACATTTTTAATGACTTCTCTTTCCTTCTAAACTTGGAAGATGCCTGCTGTGTCCCATGGTTGCTGGAGGTGCTCGGGCTGGGGAGAGCTCCAAGGGAGGACAGCTTGGCAGTTTCACGCACCACCTCAGGTGGCTGCTGTTCAAAAAAAACCCAAAACGATGACAGAGTAGAGGTTTATGTGAGAAACAAGCAAAGTCTGGCTGGAATAACAGTAAGGAGACACGGAAGATAAGTAGGAGTGTTAAGCTCTGATAGCAGGGGCAGAGCAGTTGAATTTGAGACAGGCTGTGATCATATTCTCCTATAGAAGGGATGTGGTCAGAGGCGAGGCTGGACGAGGTCCCCTGGCTAAGGCACACACCATGGCACTTGTGCTCCTGGACAGAGACTGGGTCCTGGGTGCTTTATTTGCAAATACAGACTGCTGCAACCAGCCACTTTGTTGTAGCCTTTAGGGGCTTCTGCAACATAAATGTGAATTTGGGATAGCAGCGGTCATTTAAGCAGTTTTATGAATCGAGGTCAGTTTGAAGGAAAAAAATTCAAATTCTTTAAAATGAAGAGACAAAGTCTTAATTGGACTGCGTAACAAAATTATATTTTGCTGCACCTTTAGCATTTACCATGAGAGTAAATAAAAATAAACTACGGAGTAAAAAAAAGATTACTTGCTCTAAATAAACAAGCATGTGCAAAATCTGGAAGCACAGTGTGTAACTTTGAAATAACCACTCTGCTTTCTTATCTCTAGGACGCTGTCGCAGCTCCTTTAGAAATGCACCACCTAGTGTAACTACAACAACAAAATTATGGAAACAACTCACAAAATGCAGTTCATTGAATTACCAGTGAAATTCAGTGACATTATGTATCAATGAAGAAAGATTTGGCAAAATCACAGCCATTCAATTTATGCATCTTTGTATCTAAAAAAACCCAAACAACTGTAACTTGAACAGTAAAACAAGTAACCCCGATCTCATACTATGCACAAGCAGTAAAGCAAGCCCTTGAATAAAACCTAGGAACGTGCAGTGACATCTGAGCTTTGCTTATCTCCTCTCCTTCTGATAAAGCACTATCAAGACCAGATTAAAAACAGAGTTCTCCATTTTAGCTTTCTTCCTCAAAATATTATTAACACAACTATAAAATCTTGAATTACTGGCAGTCTAGAAATGCTTGTGGGTTCTGTCTTTTTTCTCATCACAAAACATCTTTTGTTTTCTCAGTAGGCACGCAGTCCTGCTGCAGCTGACTGTATCACCTTCCTGCTAATGTCTTTCTTGTGTGTATGGAATTTTATGGTTGCTCATTTTTTGACACAAGCCCATTATAACCGAAGGTTTATTGTGAACTGATGAGAGGATTGGGGCTGTCTTGCCCAAATATGCTCCTACGCTTATTTGAGTGCCAGTTCTTAGTGCCACAAAGTAGGTTTCTGGGAACAGCAGCTGCACTCTTTGTGTTCAGAATTTCATCCTCGTTCACACACCATATGTGGGTGCAGTTTAGGGGCTAAACCTGCTCTGAGGATGGAATACTCTGAATGTGACCCTGTGCGTTAGCAGAGGCCCCTGATGGTAACTCTACATGGCCATCCTCTGCTTAAAAGTTAAATATTTCCTTTCATCTACCATTTTGTATTTGTGTCATGCATATTGAGGGTACTTTATTAGGCCAAATTTCATGCTTGTTGTGTTTGTGCAGAAGAGATTGACTACATCTTACCATCTCCTACTGCTGTGGGTGAGTAGAGGGTCACTGTCCCTGCAGGATCCTGCTGTCTCTGGACTTCCATGAGAGGTTTTAGGAAACATGAGTTGGAAGAAACATGTCCTGGATAACCCACAGCCTTTTGAGTAAGAAACAAAGAAGAAAAGTGAATGGAGAAATCCCTGAGACAACAGTCCCAATATGCAGGTTTGCAGGCAAAGAAAGAAAGAACTTTGCTGAAAGTTCTCACTGTTGTCCAGGAAGAGGAGATGTCAGGTGGGTCAGATAAAGAGAGCAACCGTCAGGCTGAATCCTCCATCAGAGAAGATGCTTGGCTGAGGCTGGGGCACATCATACTCTGGAGTGCTGCCCTGTGGTGTATGAACAGTACATGTTTACACTGCTAGGCACAGGCTTGGGCTCCCAAGTAAAAACCAAATTTCATGCAGGTTAATCTACGTGGCCGTGGCATGGCCTCCATAAAGACTCAGTAATTTATGCGTGTGTGTGTTCATGGATGACTGTGAATATATGTATGTATATACATAAACACGTAAATGGAGATTAATAGTTAATAAGTACAATGCTTTGACCTAGGTCCGGTTTTGCTGATGCAGTTTACCTTTCCACACAGCCCCTAATCTAATTAAGAAGGAGGGGAAAAAGATGTGATCAGTTAATTAGGATATACTGTATCATTAAACCGTGACACATGGAGCCAGCCTCAAGTCTCAAAGCTGGGTGGACTGCACACGTGTGTGGTCTATCTTTGCAAAGGCTCCTTTTGTCATGTTACAAAGGAGTAACGGGGATACAGATGGGTGATTGCTCGCAACAGGGTAACACCACCCACCGAGACCTTGCATGAAGGCTCAGTGGTGCTGCTGTTGGTAGAGCAGCCCTTGCAGAAACTCTGAGGAGCAGATCTTTCCAGCAATATTCTGAAAAACGTGATGCCTGTCCATAGTGACATTTTAGCCTCAATAGGTGGGGGTAGATACCTTTTGGGGGATAAGATTTGGAAACAATATTGCCAGGTGAAAAAGTCAGGAGAACAACTAGAAATGATAAGTTTTGACTGTCAGCTCCAAGAGTGATGAGTCCAATCAGTGGCAATTGTATCCTGGCTGGTGTCAGCACTGGCGTGGCCAGCAGGGACAGGGAAGGGATCTGAGCCCTGGGCTCGGCACTGGGGAGGCCGCCCCTCGCTGAGGGGGTTCAGTGTTGGGCCCCTCACCCCAAAAAGGCCATTGAGTGACTCGAGCGTGGGCAGAGAAGGGCAACGGAGCTGGGGCAGGGTCTGGAGCACAGGTCTGCTGGGGAGCGGCTGGGGGAACTGGGGGGGTTCAGTCTGGAGAAGAGGAGGCTGAGGGGAGACCTCCTGGCCCTCGGCAACTCCCTGCCAGGAGGGGGCAGAGAGGGGGGATGAGTCTCTGGAGCCAAGGAGCCAGCGCCAGGCCCCGAGGGAATGGCCTCAAGCTGCCCAGGGCAGGGTCAGGCTGGCTCTGAGGAAGGATTTCTGTGCAGAAGGGGCTGTTGGGCGTTGGAATGGGCTGCCCAGGGCAGGGGGGAGTCCCCGGGATCCCTGGAGGGGAGTTGGGAACGGTCAGGGGGAGGGTCATGGTTGGGCTGGAGGAGCTGCAGGGGCTTTTCCAACCTCGATGATTCTGGGCTTCTGTGGTGCATGCAGCAGTAGTTCCAGGGAAGGAGCAGGGTGGGTCTTGCACAGGTGCAGAGCCGGGGGGGGGGGCTTTTACCAGCAAACATCACTGACCATAAGCTTTAAGATTGCTCTTGCTTTGGCTGTGACTGGTCACCTTTGCAAAGGTGACAAACCTTAAAATTCGGCTGCCCCTTACTCTTTGAGTCAGTATAGGTGGGGCAGCTCCGATAATCTCAAGGACTGCAGTCTGTGTTTTCCAATTCACCTTTCAGTTCGCTTCCCTGTGAGCTGCAGTGATCAATAATGTCAACTCCAGGTTGTCCCCTGAGTGTGCAGTGAGGCTAAACGGTGTGCTGGTTTCTGTAGTACTCAGATTTTCAATCCGTGCCTACAGAATCCAATACAGTCATACTCTTAAGAAGCAGTGAGTGGATTTATCAGGTTCGACATGATAGACTACTGAGTGAAAAATAATTCATCCTATGAATAAATTTCTAATTAAAATAGACTTTAAAAAATATATAGCATGCCATTATTCCACAGCTGTTAGTTGTTATGACCCTTCTTTGCAATGGAACTGGCTTCTTCGTAAAGATTTTCCACAGGATATATGTTATCCCATGCCCATGCCAATGACATTCCCAGGGATGTTACAGAAAGCAGCCCTCAGCCTTCTGAGACTCTTGCCAGCAATATCATTTACTTCACTGGGCACGAGGCCAGTGACCATGGGTCCAAAAACACCATTGGCAAAGGTCGTTCTGTATCTAATAAGGGATCACCACAGTTCAGTGGTGACCATGTTTTTTTAAAAAATACCCTAACCTAGCCAAAACTACTGACTCAAAGTATGTCCCTAGAAAAGACTTTTTTTTTTTTTTTTTTCCCCCATGGTACAAATAACTACTGTGAAAAATGTTTCCTGTTTTGTGTCTTTTTTCACTCTTGTTGACTAGTGATAGCTACAGCCAGCCATTTCTCTCAGATTATACTAAATATAAGAAAGATCTAAACAAAAAAAACCAAAAACGCCGTTCAGATTACATATGCAAATTGCTTCTGAGACAGATTTCCTTACATATGGCATCAGACAAGTGCAACATGAAAAGATTATAAAACTTGTAGTAGTACTGCCAGTTTCTAGGTTTCCCTGGAAAGCTGCTTTATATTGTACTTGCAACAGCAAAGAAAAAAATAATGAAGAAAGTGTATTAATCTTCTGTGCAGCAAAAATGTCAGCCAGCAATTGTTCTGGTCCTGCCCTTGGTGACACAAGCTCAGATATTTTTATTTTGCATTTTTATTCCTTTTAATTTCTGCCTCTTCTCTATCCAAGTAGCTCTGATTTAATTTCTCTGGAGATTCAAAACAAAGCCCTGATTCATCTTACAAAGGCACTTGCAACATCCAAAAGTATGCTATGATAGCAGTCCAGAAGGAGCTTCCCCTGAGTCAGATAGGATACAGGGAACTAGTGATGCTGACACCAGTCGATCGTTCCCATAACTACTGCCTTCTGGCTAGTCCTAGGGGAGTCCTTCCCTCCGTTTGTTGATTTTCTGTTGTTCAAAAACTCACCAAGTTCTGACTAGCTCTTTTGTTCAAAACCTCTCCCAAACAAAAACATACCTTTGGGTTGCAAAAACATGCCTTTGGGCCGCAAAAACATAACTTTGGGTTGAGAGAGATGTATTATCCTGGCACTTTCCAAGTGCGACAGCCACTAGCTGAACATTTTGTTTCTTTTCTCACCTGGATAGTAACCTGAAGTGCAGGTCTTGGGGAAACTGCTGGAGGTGATGAGAGCACCCCAGAAGGCAGGCCATAGGAGATACAATGCTGAAATCATTTATTGCTTTGGTCCCACAGAACGAGCAGCCGGAGTGTATCACAGGGAGTCGCGCTCTGGGAAGTACCAGCTCACCTACGCGGAAGCAAAAGCCGTCTGTGAATACGAGGGAGGCCATCTAGCCACGTATCAGCAGCTGGAGGCGGCGAGAAAAATAGGTTGGAAAAAAAATCATGGCCGTTTGCTTTTCACAGCGCTCATTCATCATGTTGCCTGTCGTGTATTTTCATGAATGTTATGAACTCTGCGACCAAGAGACTTGTAAACTCCCTGGATTTTTGCCCAAGTTTCATGCAATTTCCCCCCTCGGTAACAGAGCATGACTGTGCTACCTACAGAGCTGTCAGGGGTAACATCTGCATGCAGGGTGATGCATCCCCCTGAGCTCTGGGTGCAGCACTAAAACCAGCAGCACCCAGTGGAGAGCCAGCTGGCTGAGCTGGGAAGCAACACTACCTCCCCAGCCACAGCACCTGGGGGCTGCTGGGGGCTGTGGACCAGGGTGTTTATCCCCAGGGAGCTTCTACAGTGAAGGTGCATCGTTATGGTTCATATCATCAGTCAGGGTGTTTCCCTAATGTTTATTCCAGCCGTATTTGCTCTGAGAGTGAGTAGTGTGCTTGCGGTGAAAAGCTGAGCTGAGCAAGGGCTCTACTGTATTTCTATTTGATTCCTAATAAGAAACAGTTAATTCATTCAGAGCATTAGGGAAACAATGGAAAATACCCTCCATTCTAGAAATTTGCAGGCTATGCTGTTGAGTCAGATGCTGGCTCTCAGCACCAGCACACATGTAAAAAGGGTACTTTTGTCTCTTCTAAGTAGCTCATAGTCCTAGGACACCACAAATATGTTCCAGTTTGTCTCGGTGAAAGCATCAAATCGGTCTCTACCAGACAGTGAATAACATTGCATTTTTTGGCTATTGTTTTTAAGTTCTCAGCCACAAAATGCATTAACAGGAAATACTCAAGGCACTTCAGGTATTTAAATTTAAATTGGAAGTATTATAAGTAATTACTCTGTTTTCTTAGCTCTCTCTTGTATGTAGTACTTCATTCATTCTCAGAACTTCATGCTGCAAACTTGAGATATGATTGAGTAAACTTTTATGACTTGAAGAGGGAGACAAATAACACATTATATAACTCATCCAGTATATAATTTGGATACAAATGCTGGTACAGCACTTAAAACTCACTACCTGGGAAACTATATAGTCCATCTGCATTTCACTTTTGTTTTCAAATGAGGAACGAATAATCATATTGTGGAGAACACAATTCAAATTTATATTCTGTGCTTAACATTATCCTCTCAAAGTACCGTTCTCTCCTGTAGTTCAATTTACGCCACTTACACCCATGTCATTGATCAGCTGGAGTAAGACTTTACTTTGTTGAATAAAAAGCAGTTTCTTGCCTAGGATTGATTTTTCACATCCATGTCTCATTTTCTCCCTGCTGCAGGTTTCCATGTGTGTGCTGCTGGCTGGATGGCAAAGGGCAGAGTCGGTTATCCCATTGTCAAAGCTGGAGCCAACTGTGGCTTTGGAAAAACTGGTATTGTTGATTATGGGATTCGCCTCAACAGAAGCGAGAGATGGGATGCCTACTGCTACAACCCTAACGGTGTGTTTAAAAACAACCCGTTGCTCTTTGGGTCTAAGATGATGACTACACGCCATGCTATCTGGCTGCACAAAGGCACCCAGGCTCTGAATGAGTCAGCTTCGATACCATAAATATGCTGTTGGAGAAGAGGAGCGTACTGATAAAAATTTATTTGGAGCCTCCTTGCACCAAGCCCCTTCTGCTGTTACCTACAGCTGATCTGGCTCGCTCAGAGCTCAGTGTCTCTGCGCTGCATTCTACTATATATAACTGGGCCTCAGCAAAGTCCTTTCAGAAACTAAAAATGTAATGATATGCTGTTGTTGATTCAGAAGTTAAGTAGTATTTCCAGTGTGACGTCAAATGTTTTGCATAAGGGCGTTTACATTTAGCCTACAATTTCATTTAAATAACTGATCTGAGGTGTTTAACATGGGAGCCATTTTCCAGATATTATACCTGTAAACAGGCCAAATTTAGTGCTAACCCTTATTCCTTCTTTCGTGTGCCTGAGATAGAACAACTTTTGAAAATGCGTGCCATGTCTGGGACCCAACACCTGACAGATCCAGTTCCCAGCAGTGCCTCGTGTGTGTGTGTGTGTGTGTGTGTGTGTGTGTGTGTAAGCAGATGGAGGAAAGCAAATCTCCGAAGCAGATCTGGAGACACGGTTCAAATACGACTGACAAGACTTCACCAGATGCGGGATATCTCTCCACTCCCCTCCATTTACTGCAAGATGACTTGAATACTGACACGGCCACTGTTTCAGTTTAGCTTGGTAGCACTTTGTAGAGCAGGGAAGACAGAAAAAGTAGGCAGCAACACAAAAAGCAAAGCTTAGCTTTGTGTGCTGCTTGACTCTCCTGCTACTCCGAGCATACTACCCCGCCTGGCAGAGCCAAAAGCTGGAGTTGTCTGTGACGTCTGTCCAGCTGTGCACATTTTGTTTGTGCTCACAGGGCTTGAGCTTGTTTACGTTAGCGGGGCAGTTGTTAATCAAATAGCTCTGCGGGGTGGGGGACATTCACAGATGTTCAGCATAGAAGGAGAGCTGCGAGACTACTGCACTGCATTCGTTGTTACTGCATATGAACTGTCAGCCCGACTTTCTCCTTTGTCAGCCTTCTCGGCTGAGCCGAGAGGCAGTTACTTTCCAAATGCACTGTTCGGTTAGGGGACAAAAGGAAACCAGAACTGCCAACACTCAGCAGATACTTGAGCGTCTCCCATTAAAAGGATATATATTCAAGCTTTCTGGACACTGCTGCAAAGCCTGGCGGAGCTCTCTGTTGCAGGTGGCAGACAAGGAGCCTGGGGAAACAAAGATAAATCTTTGATTGAACTGAGCCTATGCTCTTCTCTAGGATGCTGAAGAAGCCAAGGAACTTGTGGAAATGTTTGCATGTTTGAAATGTACATCAGGGTTAATCACATGCTCCAGCTTAAGGTTCCTAACTCACATGCTCTAAAACCACCCTTAGAAAGTACCTCCCTCTCCCCCAGGTCCGAACTTGGGGAACTATTACACATCCTAAGATCAGGCAGTGTGAGGTCCCTGGTTTGGTTGGTCCTGCAGTCCGGGTTTTGTGCTGAAGTGGATTTTGTGCCGAAGGAGACATTCCAAAGGGAGCCAAGAGCCGCAGCCACAACAGGAGTACAGCGCAGTGTACGTGATCACTAGCCTTTTCAAGTTTTTTTGTAGAAGACCCGCTTCCAAGAGGCTTTTGAAGGAGAAAGGATGCAACTGAATGCTCGGGGTGACTTGCAAGTAGAGCTGTAAAGCTTTCACCTTGACATAGCCAGAAACCCCAAACGCCTTTTACATAAAACACTTTGCTCTGTCCCAAAGTCCACTGAAGTCAGTGAAAGCTTTTCCTCTGAATTCAGTGAGGTTTGGATCATGCCTCTTGTTTCCAAAATATCTGCTCTCAAAAGGTCAGAATGACTGACACTTCTTGTGAATGCAGAGTCCTGAAATACATAAAAAGCGTTATCATGCTGGCTGTTCCTATGTGATTTTCTACAGGTCTTCTGGGTCAAAGTGCACATATCCAGAATGAATATTTACACTCTGATGTTTTTCCTTCTCTCTTAGGAAAAGAATGTGGTGGAGTCTTCACAGATTCAAAACATGTTTTCAAGTCACCAGGCTACCCAAATGAGTATGAAAATGATCAAATTTGCTACTGGCATATAAGAGTAAAGTATGGACAACGTATTCATCTACAGTTTCTAGAGTTTGATGTTGAAGACGACATCGCTTGTATGGCTGATTTCTTGGAAATCTATGATAGCTATGATGATATCAATGGCTTTGTGGGCAGGTAAAGCAATTCCAGCTTTAATATGCAAATAACCAAATGATTTCATTTTTTCCCCTGAGCATTACTTCAGAAGAACACTGTATTTACCTTACCCAGTTGGCACCTCTGATATGCCCATAATACTTGTAGCAATAGTACCTGACTCCTCTTTCCTGGCAATTTATTTTTACTGTCATTAACACAGAAAACACAGAAAATTACACTTTGCCCTTCTCTGCCTTGTTAAATTACATGAAAGAAAGCTGCAAGACTTTTTAGTTAGTTCCTTGTCTTAATTCTCTATTATTCTGCAGGAAGAACTCCTAGCAATCTCAGTCTTGTGTATCTGGCTTAATTGGAAGGAGGGAAGTGGGGTGTTAAACTGTTAGCAAAACCCTATTTTGTTTAAATTACTATTCGCTATAGAAGTATTTTCTAACAGTATCAGAACAGAACAAGTTTGTACATCATCTGTCTTACTAGATTTAGTTTCCCTCTGATTAATTCCCACTTTCTTTTCTTCAGTGTCATATTTTTGCATGTCATATTTTGGTATGAAGTACCTCAGTTTTCCAGAACAAAAAATAAACCAGAAAATGTGGTAAAAACCACTTCCCAATTCCTGCAACTTTTCACATCCTCTCTATAAATCAAGTGTAGCAAAGCAAGGATATAGTCCATTTGTTTTGCCTTTATGCATAATTTTAAATGGTTTTCTTGACAATGTTCCTCCTTTCTTAGCCTTGGGCCATTGTTCTTTACCTTAACGCCTTGTTAAATTGCTCTTTTTCTTGTTTTGAATAATTTACTTCTTGTGTATATTGAAAAATGTCTCCTGTATTTCCCCATCCCCTAAACCTTACCATAAGATAATGACAAAAACCCTTTACAAAACTGTGTTGTGTAAAAAACCTTAACGTATAGGGGAGAATTATACATACTGAATGCCTGCAACCAATGTCCCCCCCAGGCCACAGCTCCAAAGGAGAGTACAGCCCGAGAGCCGCCCTGCAGTGCGGGTCCCCATATAGCAGGGCTATAGCAGATTTACTGTGTTGTTTAGTCATGGCCATTTATATTTTTTTCCAGGTTTTGTGGAGACGAATTGCCAGATGATATCATTAGCACAGGTAACATATTTGCACTCTTTATGGTAAAAAAAAAAAAAATATCAGTCCCAAATCACCTTTTGTCCCTACTTTCTAGTAATATATGTCCAAAGACACAATGTCTGCTTCATGGCGAGCACGTCATGCGCTGCTATTCAAAACTGCCAGCGTGCTTTTTCATCAATGCAATGACTGCTAAATAAATGTAAGAGAAAAAAAAAAAAAAAATCTAGTTAGAAGATGACCAGGGTGCATCCTGCTGGCCTTCCGGAGGTAGTACACCTGAAGTTTTCATCCCGCAGATCTGTAATAGGTAACCAAGCCGTACCCGTCTGCACAATCTTCATGCCCTAATTTTTCCCATTTCCAGAGCAAGAATCGCATTACGCCTTCCAAAGCTGGTTATAGACATTATTCTGTGTGAATGTTTAAGCAGCAGGTCAGGGTCTGATTGGGTGTAAATCAAAGGCTCAAGCATCGTGAAGTGGCCAGAGCACAGACGTCACGCGGGCTGCGCATGGGAGCAAGTAGCCTTGTTCTCTGGGACAGTCTGTGAGGAAACTCACCTCACCACGCTCCAGCCCCCAGCTGTACTCAGCAGAAAAAGAGCAGAAGAGTTACAAACCCTGTGAGGAGTGACCAAAGGAGCTGGGAGTGTTTAGTGTGAGGAGGAGAGGGCGGAGGGGAGACCTCATCACTCTCTACAGCTTCCTGAAAGGATGTTGTAGAGAGGTTGATGATGGGATCTTTTCACAGGGAATTAGTGACAGAACAAGAGGGAACGGCTTGAAACTGCAACAGGGGAGGCTCGGCCTGGACATTAGGAAAAAATTTTTTACAGAAAGAGTGGTCAGAGAATGGAATGGGCTGCCCAGGGAGGGGGGAGTCCCCATCCCTGGGGGGGGTTTAAGGGCCGCTGGGATGAGCTGTGGGGGATGTGGCGTAGGGGAGAACTTTGTAGAGTCGGGCTGAGGGTTGGACTTGATGATCCCAAGGGGCTTTTCCAACTGGAATGATTCTGTGATTCTGTGATTTGTGCCACCCCTGATCTCCCAGTTTCCACGGGCCTGGTGGAGATGAGGGGAGGACATTCACGGGACAGTGATGTAGCAACCTCACCCCCGTGTCACCTAGGGATCCGTGAGGCTCTATGCCACACGTGTCTCGCACACAAAGCGTGACATTTCAGAGGCAGAGGGAAGCAGCATGTTAAAGAACAGGAAATGCTTTCCAGAAAGCACTGGGCATAGAAAAACTTTATCAATCTCTGGGCTCTGCAAACAAAGAACATGGATGAAAATCTGCCTGATTTTCCATGGGGCTAATGAACTGCAATCCTCCCTGGCCCGGCTCAGAAGTAGACAGACCACGTGGATTGCTCTAAAGATCCCAGAAGCAAGCAAGAAAGAGCACTTTAAAAATAACTCTGAAACATCACATTTTTATGCCAGGCGAAAACGTAACCTTAGTTTTTCTTTTTTCTTGTCCCAGGCAATGTTATGACCTTGAAGTTTTTGACAGATGCCTCAGTGACTGCTGGTGGTTTTCAAATTAGGTATATTACTATGGACACGCCTTCAAGGTCAAGTGATGGAAAGAATACAACATCCCAAGCAAAACCAAACTTTTTATCTGGGAAATTTGGTATTATGTGAGCAGAGTAACGAGACACGCTCATTAAGAAACACATTTTAGAACGCAATTCAGATAATCTGTTTCTTCAGAAAAGACATTTTCTTAATTTTTTCTTATTTTCTGCTTTTATATAAGTTTTGTTAATAAAGTATACTAGGAAATAAATTATAAAATATACTTACACGAATAATAGAAGACTATTTTTAGACTACAAGTACTGTAAAAACCTGAAGAATTCATTGTTACCAAAGATTTAAAAATTATTTTTCTATATAAACTGCTCCGTCTCATTTCTTGCACCATTTGAACCTTTTGTGACTGTTTCAATTATTTTAAAATTTAATATGCTGTTCTCTCCTTATTTTTCTTGATTTCCACATATTTATTTTTTAGATTGTTACTTTGTTTCTTCCTGTTCTTTACACATTTTTTTTTAATTAGCTCATTTCCCTCAACTGAAAAAGCCTTTAAAGTAAGATTATTTTTAAGATACATAAATTCATCTTGTAATAAATTAATTCATTACATCATTCATGTAACTGTCTGAAGTCAGAAGATTTGGAAGCAGCATGAACAGCAGGGAATCAGTTATATTATCGTCATAACTTTGTTGTGAGATGAGAAACTACTCCATGAATTTTGTCAGCGTTTCCTCATCCAGAGATGTTCAAGTCCTTTCACTTCTCTGATTTCACATAGTAAAGACCAAATAAAAGACTTCTTAATTATAATAAAACTGGAGAGATGAAGCATTAGAAGAAATTGCTAAACGAGTACCAGCAAATTCAGAAGTTACTGTCAAGATGCTGTATTTTGTTTACATGGGTTTTATGGAGACCATACTATTTTGTATTGCTGAACATAAATCATTCTTCATGTTTTTAACTTGTTCCAGTCCGAAGCAGCATTAAAGCTACCTCTGTTTGAATCATATCCTGAGTTTTCAATAATTATTTTTATTTCTTGAGAACATTTCAGACTTTGAAACATTTTTCTTGATTTAAAGCAGTAAATAAGTTTTAAGAATTTCTTTCTTTCTCTCTCTGTTTTCTTGACCCCAGATCTGCTGAAGTCTAATGCCCAATGACAGTCTTCCTGTGAATTTTGTTTGGAGCACTGCAAATTCCTCAGAAAGTGTTTTGCACAGGAGGAGGAGGATCTTAAGCTAATCAGACCCATCTTTGCTGTATTTAGTCTAATTCTTGGTTCTTTAAATTTATTTAATCTTTCAGGTTTTATTGTTGTAATTTCACTGGGATTATAAACCTGCTTTCTCCCTGTGCTGGAGAACAGTGCTGCAGCTAGCACTGCAGCTTCTTTCCCTATCATTTCCAACACTTTATTCCTGCTTTATGCGAGCGCCGGGAACCAAAGTTCTTATCACTACATTTAATGGGATCAACTGCACCTAAAACCCACTGGTGTTTTTTAATCCTGCCACCTGGTGGGTTGAGTCACTGTTCACATCCTCCTGTTACAAAACGTCATTCCAGTTCTCCAAGATCAGCAAAAGTGTTTGTTAATAAGGAAAATCCATGAAAAGAACTGTTAACATTTTGTTTATGACCTAGGGTGGGTTTTTGTTGGTTTTGGTGTTTTTTAAATGTTTCTTTAATTGAGAAGCAACAGGTCTTGAACTGATACAGACCAGAACCAAGGGGTGTACAGGAAATCTCTGCCTGTCTGGAAACCCTCATGGAGCCAGGGGGGTAACGCTGCCTGGGGAAGAGTTTCCTTCCAGAACAGGCCCTCCTGCTAAGCACTCCGCCACCGCTTCGAAGCCCTGCGGGTGACTAAGATTCAGCCATTAATGTGACTGCTCGGGCCTCTATCCCCGAGAAACAGGATTTCTCCAGATTTCAGATTTGCAGGCGGCCGCCGTCACTTCACATTACACCCACAAATGACAGCCACACACCCGCCTCCTGTCCCCCCTCCGTGGCTTTACCCCTCAGCGGGATCTATTGTGCGCAGGTAAGCGGTAACATCTCCCCACCCCCGGAGATGACGGCGGTGGGCGCTGGGCAGCGCTTGGCGGGGAGCCAAGGCCCCAAACGTTTTCTCCGCCGTCTGGGAACCCCACACCGACCCGGGGACCCAGCCGAGGAGGCTGCGGGGCCACGGCCGGCACGGCGCAGACCCACATCTCCGCGCCCTGGGGGAATTTCGGGTTTACGCAGCAGGTTTCTGTGCCCGCTCCCGGCGCTCCGGAGATAATCTTCCCCTCACAAATCACCAGTTTGTTGGTTGAAGGCGCCTCTGGGACTCCAGGAGGCGCGCAGCGGGCTGCCCCGTCAGGTGACTGACAGCCCCTCGCACCACCCGCTT